GAAACCATCTCAGAGACCATGTATTCTAGTCTTTAAAGAAGAAGAGGAGGGACGAACAGAGGGAGAGAGGAAAGAGGAGGGCAGGAGGGAAGGAGAGAAGGAGAGAAGGAGGGAAGAGGGAAGGAGGGAAGGAGGGAAGAGGGAAGGAGGGAAGGAGGGCAGGAGGGAAGGAGGGAAGAGGGAAGGAGCGAAGAAGGGAAGGAAGGAAGGAGGGATGGAGGGAAGGAGGGATGGAGGGAAGGAGGGAAGGAGGGAAGGAGGGAAGGAGGGAAGGAGGGAAGGAGGGAAGGAGGGAAGGAGGGAAGGAGGGCTCTTCACGGCATCCACTGTAAATGGCAAGTAAAGATCTACAAGAAGACACCGGGAGGAGGGCCCCTGGCACCTGGGAACCCACATGGGGTGGAGCGCTGGCCTTTGGGCCAACCCCCAGCCTCGCAGGCACCTGGGAGGAGGGCCCCAGGTGCCTGGGAAGCCACACAGCAGCATGCGCTGGTGTGTGCCAGCCCTCAGGCCAGCCGATGCAGCATAACTGAGAACTATCATGGCACAGAGAAGCAATGAGAAAATTGGCCCACCATGTGCCAGCTGCGGAGGCCCACCCGTGGATGTGTGTGAATCATTCCGACATGGAGAAACACCTGGGAATACATGCCACACAGCGGGTAGCTCTTGCCCCTACCATTGAGAACCAGAAAGGTCTAGTGTCAGCAGAGGAGCTGCTGCTGAACAAGGACTCAGAGAACATGAGAATACAGACTAAGCCTAAAGAGTCAGAGGTCTAGTGGAATGGCATCACGAGAGCCATTTGGAAGCTGTAAACCAGGAAGACCTTGTGCAATACCTGGGAAGACCCCCTGGAAGCCATTCTTCCCCTGACAGTACAGGCTGCAGTGGAGGAGTGTGTGGAGCCCCAGAGAGGTCTGCACCGAGATTCCTGCTGCCTGTGCTGATGGTTGAGAAGACACTGACTGGTTGTGGGGTCCCAATGTGATGGGAGGCTGGAGAGAAAAAGCTACAAAAAATGGCTTTCACCACAGATGGCTCACTTAAGATGTTAGTAAGAACTGCCT